AAATGCTACGAGGGTCAGCCAAATTGGATTGTAGTTCAGTGAATTGAACGGTGATTACTTGAAAACGTTTCTATATTGTGAATAATGCGGCCTAAGAGTGGCATGCAGCGTGCGGTAATAATAATGTAATTCAATCGAATGATTAATATTGTTTTTTCCGGTTTGCGTATTTTGATGAAATCGTGCGGTGTTCGACCCATTCGCTACTGGTACTTCTTTCAGTAACAGTCGTTGGAATAATATTTTATTTAATGGAATGTATCGTCTTTATAAAAGACAGATAATAATTATATTATGCGTTACGATTGTAGACGAAAACACACGTAATGGGCTCTTCTTTGCATAACGTATGGAACATTGATCGTTGTAAATATGTCGCTGATAGTGGACGTGTTAATTTTGTCGCAACTTTGTGGGCACGACTGTTATATAGAAAAGTGACGTCAGAGAATCATCGAGAAGTTGACGTTGTTTATGGTTAGAGAGAGGATCGGTATTAAAAGAATATTGGCAGGAAATAGATTTTTCTCTCATAATAGAAGGAAATTCATTTCGAACATTAGGTACTAATGAATTTATAGTATTAAGAAGTCTTTATTTCTTATCCCTGATTTTTAGTAATATGGGAAAGCTGCAAGTGCATAAATATTCGTAGAATTTCGTTGCACTTCCGATCAGAAATATTCAGTTTCAACTCCTTAATGACAGATGTGTCACTCGTATATAGCTGACTTGGCACTCGAAGTGTTAAATCGCGAATCAACTCGCGTGCAGCTCCTTGGGCGGGGAACTCTGGCTCTCGTGATTAAAATATGGTAGCGTGTTGCCGATCTTGATGAAGTATACACAGTTTCTTGCCATGCGCTCGTTAGATTGTGGGTTTCATGCATTGTGAACATCGTAATAAAAAACGGAACAGTTCCAGTGAGGGTTGAATTATTATTCTCTGCGTTGAATTCAAATTGAATTAACAAGTTGTCACCTCCATGGATTATTTGAATTATAGCACATTACACTTTACATTAGTCAAACCGAAACATTTTTCAAAATGATAGGTTCGGTGAGAGCTGCATTATTATTCTCCGCGTTGAATTCAAATCGAATTAACAAGTTGTTACCTCTACGAAGTATTTGAATTATAGCGTATTACACTTTATATTAATCAAACCGAAACATTTTTCAAAATAATAGATCCAGCGAGGGCGCATTATTATTCTCTGCGTTGAATTCAAATCGAATTAACAAGTTGTTACCCCTACGAAGTATTTGAGTTATAGTACATTACACTTTCCATCAATGAAACTCCACCGTTCCCCAAAATAATATATAAAATTGAATATCATTTCATTCTTCGACGCACAATTTTTACGAAGCTTTTATTTCCACTTCCCCACGTCTACCAGGGATGGGTTTATGAGATTCCTCGTAACGTTCGCCGTATACCGTCGCTTTAATCGAGCATCGTCTAACTCCCCTTTTATTTTATCTATTCCCGTTGAACGTTCCTATCCAGTGTCGTTTAGAGCCGAGGATGTTATGTAACCTCCATCCCAAGCGATTTGTAAACAAGAACGGTGTTACGCGAGGGGGACGCCATTCCCGTTTATTCGATTCGTGCAGGTGTAAAATTCGCGTTCTCGAAATTGCGTTTCCCGATTTAAACGTATCGAATCATTCGCCGTGCATTTTTCTCCCGTTCCCAACAGCTCCGAAGCAATAGCTTTTCAGGAGCGTCGCCCCTACGTGTTTGCCGCAGTAAAAATTTTAGACTCTGTAGGTGCATTTGCTCTCGCATAAAATATAACGACAACAGTCGTTCCACGATACTTCTTCCGTTTACAGTGGCAACTTTTTAAGATGAATATTAACTAAGGAACTTTTAACGCGTTGATCGGCAGTTTGCGTCGTTACGGCGGCTCCGTAAAATTCACGGCGTTATTTATCCCATTTGAATTTTTAATTTTTCTCACCAACGACCACCGCGGAAATCAGCTCGTTAACGGTTAACGCCGCAGAACACGGGAGATAAGACCCGCACTTTTGATAGCGTTCTCAAACGTTCAGACAAATCGGTAATTTCCAACGGAGCGCCACGGAACGAGCGAGTTTATGAAAGATTCGAGCATCTCCCGTGAAACGGAAGCGAAGCGAAATAGATAGGTACTCTTGTGTAATAATTAATTCTATCTTACGTTACGCCACAATGGACTTGATTCCCTTTTGTCTCCGGATATAGGCGAAAATGATTTGCGCGACGCCAGAGCGTCTCCGTCATCCGATTTCCAGTGGAAAATGAAAATTCACCCGTCGAAAAATAATAGCACTCGATTAAATCGATTGTCAATTAATTAAAAAAACTTCTGTTAAATCACTACCACGGTTTATTCCGAGATTGTGTCCACAATTATGAAAGTGGTCTAAGTGAAGATTTACAAAAAATGAGTTCATCAGTTGTTTCACATCACATTATCTTAAACTAAATTAAAAGAAAACAATATTTGACCTGTACCACTTTCATAATTCTAGGCACATCAGTTTGTTTCCTTCCTTATATTTTCTATTTACTACGTATTCATAGAATGAGAATTATGCTATTGATTAAATTAATTTATCAATCAAACGTATTTTGAATCTATCTTTCGCTTACCAGAACAAACTTCTTCCTTTCCTATTCTTGTGTTCCATTTACCATGCACCATTTGATGTCACTCAGCGTATAGTAATCATGTTCCGTATTCTGTTATTTTCTACCTGACAATGGGAAGCGAATGATGCGAAATCGCTCTCGCTTCACGCGTTACTTCGTCGTCCACGGTATCTTCTCGTCCCAGGTCGCCCGGAATCGTCGGTGCAAGCGTTTTGACAATTAATCGGGAGCTCGGCCCGCTGTTCGCTCCGATACCGTAGCGACGAAACGATTCGCTTTAACGCGGCTGCTATAAAACGAGACCGACGCGAGGAATAAACTCGTGGACCGCTGTAGCCGCCATTATTAGCGCGGCTGGGATCGAAACAATGTCAGAGCAGACGATAATATTAATCGACGGTTGGTTAAGCGAGGGCTCTCCGGTTGCCTCTATTTTTCGGTGCACACGAATTAAAATAGAATCGCCTTCATGAAAATTCATGCCCGCCGCGATGAGAACGATCGCTGGAAGGAGGACTTTACGATCCATTTATGCGCATTGTTAGATGGGACAGCAGTAAACGGCCGGTTATCGACGGAAGGGGACTCGCCGCGTTTAGCGAATCTTCTGTAATTGAAATGCATAATTCGCGCGGTGAACGCTGTTTCGTTCATTTGGAATCAAGGCATTTCGTTGGCAAACCTTTCAACGATGAACCTAGACGAATTTTGCTTTCCTTTTAAAATAACAGTTTGTTACGAAGTTTGGGAACTCGAAGCGTACGGAAACGTAGAGTCTAACGTATAAAGAACGTAGAGTATACATAATTATGTATAATTGTATAGTTGTACGGGTAATCTTTAATTCGAACAGAAATATAGAACAAACCCAGAGACAATGGAATCATCCTAATATTACTTTTTAATTCCTTTCTGTTCGATTATTCGGATATCAGGATTATACATTTACTTACGATCAATTAACATACTATATCGATTCATACACAATAAAATTATCTCCCTTTTCTGCATTAAAACATCTCTCAAAATTAATGCACGATGAAAGCAAAAATCGCCGCGTCGAAATCCTATTATCAATCTCATTATTCGCCGATGAAATCGAAAGCTCGATCGATGGGCTGGCGCCCTTAATAATCGTCCCTTTCATCGACTCGTTAACGAGTCGTTAAATCTTCTCTCGCTTACGGTCCGAGCGAATTATCACTCGGCCGGTTCATTATTCACCGTTCCCGACTTAATGCCACTTTTGTGCCGGCGGAATTTCACGGTCATTAATCAGACGCAGTCAAAGGCCGACACGGCCGAGGGGCGGCCGGGGGTCCGAGTAACTCGCGGGAAATTGGTTTTGTATCAATTACACGATTAATCATCGTTAGATTATTATTAAGGGGGCGCGCGGTTAACAAGTGTCGCGATTTCACGCGTCCGCGAGTCATTCCGGCCGTGCCACTTTCCGGGAGTTAGCCGGAGCCGGAGGCGACCCGGAGGACCCGGTTTCGGATCCGGCAGTCTCGTCGCTGTCGGAGCCCCTGTGCCTGCGATTATCGTTCGATTCGTTTCTAATGGATCCGAGAAGAACGGAAGTGTTGCTGCCTGCTGCTCTGAAAGCTTCTCCTACGGTCATTTTAGAGGATGAGGAGGATAATAGTGTCTTTGGAGTGGTTTATTTCTTTGAGTGTCGTTCTTATTTTTATTTTTATTCCTTGGTGGTACTTCTGTCTTAAGTAACGGTATTATTAACGTTTAATTTTAGCGATTATAGGAATTTGTGGAAGGCGATTTACGTGCCTCGGTGGTACTGTTGTTTTCGATGAAGATACTGACGTTAAAGTTTAGCGATTGTAGGAATTTTGAAATAAAGGGTAGTTTATGTACGTTGGTAGTACTTTTGTCTTGGATAAAAATATTATTGACGTTAACGTTTAGCGATTGTAGGAATTTTAAAATGAAGGATAGTTTATGTGGTAGTGCTTTTGTCTTGGATAAAAATATTATTGACGTTAAATTTTAGTGATTATAGGAATTCTAAAGTGAAGGGTCGTTTAGGAAGCTGTTATTCTAGTTATTTGGCTAGAATTGGTATTCTGGTGTTAGAATATAATATATATATGTATCGTATAGGAACTGTTCAATGTATTTAACGCACAGTTGTTCTCTAATTTGCTTGAACTGCATTATTATTAGTGGACCGATGCCGACGTTGCATTGAAAGAGGCGCGACACGAGCTGTTTAGTTCCTCTTAAAATAGTCCGCGGCGGAGTAAAATTCTCCATTGTGAAAATTATTTATGAAAATTGTTTACATGCAGATTACAAGGTCACTACGTCGAGTCTATTGGATTTTTATACGCACCTGAACTTCTAAGGCATGGTAAGCAAATATGAGGCCAAGCAGTATCACAGTAGACACAGAGATCAGGGTTTTCAATGCTGTCGAGTAAAACGAGGCCTGGAACATAAAACATCGTCCTCGTGAATCCCGGCTCTGCAATGATGTATCGCCTTCACGCTACGGCCACTTAAATTTACATAGTTCCCCGTGCAGTGGGCTAGCAGACTGACTTTTCTCGTCTCCACCGGTACACTTCCCATAAACTCCGCAAATCCGCCGGAAATTCTCCGTAAAAAATATCCCTAATACAATACAAACATCGGATACAGTCTTCTATATCCAACAATTACATCTCGATCCACGTACTTCAAATACCGTGACACAATTCAACTAAAGAAATTTGGTACAATTTAACACTGGAACTACCGTACCGGTCAAAATGGTTCCGATCTTTCTGTTCTGAAATTATCGATACCTTAAGCGTATTGAATATTTGAAATGAGTTTGAAAATAAATAGTTTCATTTGAATAGTACTAGTGAATGTTTGAGGAAATTGAAAATAATCTATTATCACAATTTGCAGAGGGATTAGATGTCAATCGTATTAAATGCTCGGTTGTTCTAGCGTTGAACAATCCCATGGGAAAATCCCATGCGTTCCTCTGAGCGCCACGAAAATCTTAAGCGTTTTGCCTTTGTAGCAAAGAAAAGCAGGAACAATTATTAATTATTTGGCGGTACAATGTTTGCGTTACATTATTATCAATTTAGGCACGTTATTGAACATTTTCATTGCGATTGTACAGTCCGTCGCGCAATAGTTGAGAATAATCCTTTAAATAACGGACGGTTCGGTCGAAATTCGGGTCCCACAGGCAATTGAATCAGACGTCTCCCAGACGTCGTAAAGTCGAATGGAACCGAGCCGACAAGCGGCTGGCACAAAATTTTCTTCGCGAAGTTCCGCGGTGCCGAGTAATTAAAGTTACCGAACGACGCGCGCGAGTGTCCCAACCGAGTTTCCTCCCGGCTGGCCCTAATTGCGAGTCGGCGCCGTTTCAACGCGCGTAGATTAGACCCCAATGAAATATTCAGACGTCTGCGTAAAGTTACTTATTGCTGCCTCGTAAAAGTCGAACGGGCCGCTGCAACTTTATCGGGCGGCGTTAAGCCGCGCCGTCGTCCTCGAGGCTCGTAAAACGCTGCCCGACACTCGGGACGGTTGCCTCGGAAAAATAAACTTCCATATCGCGCCGGCCCTTCCCCCTCCGGCCCCTCAGACGCGCGGCATTTTCCCTTTCCTTCGGCGCACGCGATACGTGCAACGAATGTTGCGAAAAGGAAAGTTGAAAACATATCCGTTCGGATTTACGAGGGAAAGTTTCGCGGGAAGGGGCGGATTTTCTTGTACTTCTCGGGAACGCGCTGGCGAGCGTTGAATGGCAGTGTTCAAACGTTCCTCGCGTCATTTGCGAGTAGATCGAGAATTTTGTGCATGGTTTTGCGCGTGGTTTTGTGCATTCTGATTGTGTACGTTGGTGATGGCTTCCTTCAGGGATTGTTGTATCATTAACGTTGTTGATTTATGAGAGATATTTCGGCATGGTTTATTTGGGTGCGACAGCCGTCGCCGCGAGTAGAGTTACGCTGCATTTTACCATCTGGCGTCATAATTGACCAGTAGTTGACATATAAAAGAAGCAGCTCAACTTGAACTCCGAGCGCGCAGCCACCGGTTTTGCAGGTCAGAAGGGACGTACACAACTATTCTTATATATGTAGGAACTATCCCGTACAAGTCCTCAATGTTGTAGAATATTCCCTTACAAATCGCAATGTCTGCATAGATTTGTAAACGCTCGCTCGCCGATCACGCAGTCTCGCACCGAACCGTTCTCGTTCAAATGCTCGTTCCACTATCATCGAATGTCTCCCGCGCACGCATTCCCACTCGCTTTTAATGCACACCCCCATTCGCTCTGTCTTTCTTACAATTGCACCCTTCTCGCATCTTTCGTCCATAGTGAAAATTCACGCAGTCACGTACACGCCTTTCTCATGTCGCGATAAGCATCACCACATACCCAAATTATCTCATTTAGGGATGGTTAAGACCTTTTCCGAGGCTGCATCTTCCGCCTTTTCTCCGAAACAAAAACAACTTCCTGTCCATGCACCTGAATTACGTACCCTGAAAATCCCTTTCTCCTTTCAACTGTCCAGTTTTCCTTTTAGATACCAAATTTATGCATCCGGTGACAAAATTCACCTTTTCCGAAAACTCAGGGACCGCCGCGATGGAATTCCAAGATTGCAAAGCTACGCTCAGTTCTCCCAAAATCCCTTTCCCCCACTCCTTTAAAGAATCCATTAAATACGGAGGAAAAACGGAAAGGAGGACTCAGTTTTTTGTAAGAGCGACTTTGCGACGTTTATACTAAGACACTTGTACTCAGTTCAACTGAATAAAAACTAGTGTTAGCAATCCAGTGAAACTTCCTCCCTTGAATCACACTCTCAGAGTCACCTCGACGACACTCGGGGCCCAGTCGCTCGGTTCCAGACACTCTTCCTCGTATTCTTTCAGTCACTCAAGACTTTCCAAACGCTGTCACGCTATTTACCAAACATCCCGGCGCCGCCCGGACGCGGAACGACACCGGTCGCATGCACGCTTTTCTTTCACACTTCTTCAGGGTTTTCCAAATATACTGGCGCCGGTTCGTCGCGGTCTGACTCGGTCGCCTGCACGCACGCACGCATAGTGGTGCCATTCACCCTATATATATATAGAGTTACAGACTCACGATAAGGCAGAGACATGTAGTCAATACAAGTTAATTACAAATCAGGCTGTGCTCGCTGGACGAACACATACGTCAACTTTGTACACACATACACATTGCTTTCAGTCATTATCAATCAACAAATACAGTCCACTTTCAACCGAGAGAAGGAGAACTATTTTACACGAAGTGAGAGTATAGTTGATTATGTTAGTATAACTAACATTGCCTGGACAGCGTGCACGAACAGGAGATAAGATTTGTTTGTGAAAGTAAGTAGTATGGGAGGAATAATAGGCGTCTGAGTAGGATTCATTGTATGGATGAAAATAATTGATGATATAGATATTTGACGATCTGTATTTGCACTGTTGTGTGTATTACTTGAAATATGAGAACAGACGCGAATAAAAGAGAATATTGAATTGAACGTGTTAGTTTTCAATGAATCTTCCGTTTAAGTTAAGTACTGGTATATCGTATAATAAATTCCAGCAAGTTTATCTACAGAGTAATTAATTGTAAATGTAGTATCCTATTCGCGAGAAATACCTGTTTCCTTGGAACTATTTGAATGTATGTTTTCTATACGTGTCGTTAGATTTCGGTATCAGTGAGTTAGCGATTGTGAATTAGCGTAGTTGGTAACAGAAGGAAATCTCGATAAAAAAAACCAAGGTCGACGAAAGCATGAAGGAGAGGAAAAGGACAAGCGCCGTTAGGTCTGCGCCGGGAGGACCCTCGAATCACTCGAAGCACTCTGCGTCGAGTATTCTCTCTGTAATTAAATCGAGGACGTCGAGTCAGGAAAGGACTGATGTCGGCTGAAGTGGCCACCGTAAGAAGTTGAAAAATGAACGGAATACCTTAACGAGGAGACGGCCAGATATGATAATGCGTTCCTCGATTATACTTAACATTCTGACGAAAAAGAAAACATTGTTCTTGTGTAATCACTGGTTTATAACTAACCAATGCAGCGAATGCAAACCTCCCACACCTCCTCGTATCATTAAGGAAACGAGATTGCAGGTTAAAAGGACATTCATAATCGAAGGAAAAATCTATTGTTTCCCGTGTGCATGTTACTTCCATCTGGAACCCTTATCAGTGGACTGCGGATCTGTATGCAAATTCGAATGGTTAAGAATGTAATTAAGATAGTAGAATTACGATAGAAAATGGCTATTCATAACAAATATTATAAAAATACATTGCACGATAGGTGTTTTGTATATTCTTTTCTGTTGTTTCCGTGCAACATTGCACTCTCAAATTTTCCATAAAGGTATAAAAATTCACAATATGCCTATCAGTTTGTCTTATATCTAATTTGAATAATAAACAATAAATATAAACGGACCCTCGATTTCATTTAATTCAATTACGATGGAAAATGGTTGTCCCCAACAAATATAAAAAGCACTGCACTATCAAACTTTTCATAAATATATAAAGATCCATAGTCTGCTTATCGGTCTGTCTTATATCTAATTTGAATAATAAACAATAATAAATATAATCCGATGATCGTGGCCGGCTATCGATCAGAAACGATTCTCAACTAAACGGACCCTCGATTTCATTTAATTCAATTACTATAGAAAATGGTTGTCCCTAACAAATATTATAAAAAGCACTGCACTATCAAACTTTTCATAAATATATAAAGATCCATAGTTTGCTTATCGGTCTGTCTTATATCTAATTTGAATAATAAACAGCGAATTCGCACTCGGAGTTCGAATAAATAAATATAATCTGATCGTGCCCGGCTATCGATCGGAAACGGTTCTTAACTAAACGGACCATCGATTTCATGGAGCAGGAGGACGCGAACAGCTCTCGTCGCGGCTTATATTCAGGGAGAAGTCGTGCGCCATGCGCGTCGAATTTGATTACTCGTTTTATATCGGCCGTGCTCAATGCGGATTACGCTGCCGGTAGTTGGAGGCTGCGTAAAGGCCGGATTTAAAGGTATCGAATGCCGTGAACTTGGACGGAATCAAATATATCGACCGGCTCGGGAATAAAACGGAAGGAATAAACTATAAACGGTCCTCAACGTTGAGTTTCTCGTTCAACGCTGGAACCACCGAGCTGTCAAATTGACTTTTTCAACCCTTAAGTGTCGCGATTCGTGTACCAGACAGCTCGGTACTCTTGTCTATTCGGATTTTCTCTCGTGCGCGGCTTACAACGTTGAAGCACGTTGAATTAAAAAATATTGCAGTACTAAGGTAATATGGAATAATAAAAAGTAACGTTCAGTATTATGATAATAAAGGTAGACATATTGTGATACTAAAATTATATGCGGTAACAAGAAA